GCTAGTGCACTCTAACACAAGGACGTGTCTGAAAGTCTTTTATGCTTTTCCTCACCGCCTCTCAGGCACTGTTCACTTGCAAAACTAACTTGAACGTTCAGATGTTAGACATGCTCACCAAGTGCCCCAGAAACTTCAGAGCAAGACATCACTCCAGAGTACAATTAGGCTCAAACACATGATCACAGTAACCCAAGTACAATTCTATCAAAGCCTAAAGAAAAAAAACAAAACAACACAACTGTGAACAGAAGACGACTTCTTGCTGTAAAGCAAATCTGTTTCAAATAAAAAGCTTTACTGGTGTAAAGGCTCTTCAGACAAGAGATACATCTTTTCACGTCCCAAAGCCCTGTTGTTTCTTTGTGTGTGTGCATGTATGCATGTGTGTGTCTGTCTGCCTGTTTTTTTTCACAAGTGTCTTCTTCTGCCAGCCATTCTTACCCCACCATTTTCTGGAGCTGCAGTCCTCCCTCTCCTTCAGATCTCCTTGTGCTGGCTGCAGCCCAGGTCCCACAGTAAAGAATGTGCATGAATCCTATTCACAATAAAAGGCCTGACATTCTGCCCAACACTGATGCCAGCTGACTGGCCTCAATATCTGAACACTAAGCTAAAAAAGACCTGTAATTATGCAAAATCTTGATGCCAGCAGAAACTCTGAGGATGCGAAGAAAGTACCTGAAAGTACCACGTGGAAGCACCAGCACATACCCTGGTAGTGAACAAAGATTCCAGCCTCCATTACCAAGGAGATTTTGGGGGTTGTATGAGAAAATATCCAGCTGGAGCAGTAGTTCAGTACTTCTAGCAGTACCTAAGCTAGAAATGATGACAAAACAGACAGCCCTCTACAAGGCTGTGAAGACAGCATAGCATCTGCCATCCTCATGTGCCACATCTTTTCACTGCTGTTGGTGCAATTGGTTGCCTGTGTTCGAGTTTTGCCTTTCAGAACACAGTAGTGATAAAAAATAGCTTCCTCCTTGCCCTTTGTTCTTCTGTGTTTTGTTAGATAAAACAGTTCAGTGCCTGTTATAAGAACGCCAACTTCTCCTACTTATCCTCCTCTTCTGTTGATCACTTTTCATTTATATGTTTCTAACAAGAAAGAATTCAGCACCTGTTCTGTGCAACATCAAATTCACAGAATGTTCTTTCTCCACTTCCATAATTGCTTTAAAGGTCCTGGTACCAGCAGACTGCTCCGTGGTACATTGAATAACCTTACTTCACAAAATAATGACACCATCTAAGTAACAATGCAGAATTATACTGAATTTCTGGTCCAATCTACATTACATCTGGCAGCAAGCAGTGTGTAAGGCACCCCTGAACATGAAACAAGAAGTAGAACGGGTCAAATAGGCATCAGCATAGGGAGTGTTAAGATAAAGAGCCTTAAACTTAAAACTGGAAGATCTAGTAATCTTAACAGAGGCTAAGGATTAAGATCAGTGTTTTTACAAGAAGATGAATATACTTTGAGAACGAGGGAATGTATCAGAATGAAAAGTCTGCTTCACAAGAGCAATTTAGCAAATGCAATTTCAGCTATGACTGTAAAAATGATAAACTTGACATGCTGGTAAATGTCAGTTACTTGAAGCACATTACTCATTTTATGTACAATAGCATTGTCTTAGTACTCTGCTTAGAGTAGATGAAAACAACAGTCTACTTGCTCTATAATTCTGTAGCTGTAGGTACATGACCCATTAGCAATCACATTTTTTCTACCAGTAGTTCACAACATCCCCTGAAATTACCATCTAAATGGAAAATAGTACTGATTTTCTACAGATGTTTTCAGTTTCTTCAGGGAAAAAAAAAAAAAAAAAAAGATAGCAGCTAAGAGTTTGTTTTCTTGCAAACAGAAACATGCACTGTTATTTTTTATGCTAGCATATTAAGTGGGGAATCGGTAAAGTCATTAAGACTGGTATCGTATTTTGTATGTTAGCAAAAATTGCTGGAAAAATACACACTTTCTAGTATAAAGGAGATCTGAGTAAAATGAGGGTTTTTTATGATGTTTCCTATGAGAGCAGCAGTTGCTATCATAACAAAATTTATATCAGGTGCTTGCTAACTGCTTATAAAAAGAAATAAAAAGCACTTTGGGACTGCTCACGTGACAGGTTTGCTTCTGATGCACTGTAACTTATATTCTGTGTTTACTGGCAATTTTCAGGCTGCAATCCTTTTAAAATATTTTCCAGTTGTCTTGTTGCAAAAATCAGCCATTTGATGTAACAGTATCAACATGAAGCATGTCCTGTCTTAGATCACAGCTAGCCATGCATGAGGTGAGCAAGATCTTTCTAGTTTTCCCCAGCCAACAGCTATAATCTGTGTCCTTGCACTGCTGATGTTGTATCCCCAGTGTTTCTACAGACTCAGAGGAACAAAGCCAAGGTGAAGGGATGTCTCTGTTTATCCTGAAGACACAAGTGGGCATCAGTCATGTTTAGTCAGCTTGGGTGTGTATAAACTAAAGAAGAAATAAAGGGTTAGGCCAGGGACACTCTGGGAATGTAGATAAAAATCAAAGAGGTTCAAATCTTTGAGTTCCAGAAAATATGAGGAAGGCTGTCAAATGTGTTAAGTAATGACATGCATGAGATTTGGGGGTGCTTAGTTTTCTTCTGCAGGATGTGATGTCTGCTTCCTCTTCTCCAGTATGCACCACTCCATTATTGCCAGCCTCATGTGCAATTTTTTCTGGATGCAATTAGTGCTGAGCAAACGGACAGATGTTGCCAATTTGGGAGGATTTGTTACAAGAAATGTCTTAAATCCCCTCACAGTCTGAGCATTACATTAGAGGTTCAGCTTTCAAGGAAGCGTGAAGAATAGGCGGTGTACCTTTCTCCACCAGATCCGACAAGGTTTGAGCTTGGTAGAGTGGTTCTGGGCAGGCCTTTAATTCCCCAACACCTCCACAAAGCCATTTCAGCCTTTAGCATGGCTAGGTCTATAAAGCATACCTATTTTTTGATAGCTAAGGAAAGCAAAGCCACAAGAAGCTGTCGTGTTTGAGGAAATGTAAAAGAGATAAACAATACACAGTGGCAGTAGCAACAGATCATCCACTCATCTGTTCTGTCAGCTCAAGGCTAGATAACAAGTTTACACACAGTAACTGCTTGCAAATACACCCTACAACTATCACTGCAGGCTTTCCTTCCTGCCCTGGCAGAATATGAGGAAGCAGGAAAGTAAGCAGAGACACTCCAGGGCATAATTAGTTGGTTATATTTTCTGTGGAAAGCGTAAAATCCAGCAATCGCTTGTGATGGAAACCTTGAAGTATAGAGAGTCAGTTGCAGAAAAAAATGGTTTTAATTACAGGAGTAAATGGTATTATCAAGTGATATGCTAGACAGGGGAAAGGGAAAGCCTTCCTACAAAGATGCTTTGTTTCTTCAATTATTTGAGAGCATAATGACCATTATGCTGATATTAAGTTATTTGCTATGTCCTAATTATCTGTCTGCAGCAACTCAGTGGAAGAGACAGGCAAAAGTGTAGCAAAATAGATGTTTCTCATCCTAACACCAATGTTGTCTTGGCAGCTATGGCCAACAGGAGCAAAATTTGTGTGGCTTAATGTAAGTGCTGACCTGTGAAATTCCTGTGTCTAAGCTAGTCACCCAGGTTCCTTTTATAGCCACCAGAGAGAAAAGCAGAACTTCACTGCAAAATGCACCTCAACTGATGGTAGAAAACAAATTATTTTTTCTCTGTAAAGAAGACTAGAATGACATGCTAAGACACAGGTACCACATTTCTACACCTAAAATCAGGACTCAAAGGATCCTGACCAGTGAGAGAAAAAAGATAGTCAAGGCTGCTTATTCATCACATCTTAAAGCCACTGGATTTCTACTCTGAAAGAGCTTGTAATACAACCAGAGGCTACGACTTCCCTCTGCTGGACAAGCACCTAAACCACAGTTTCAGACTCTCGCTGGCCTCATGCCAGCTAATTGAATTTTGCGTCCTCTGTTTGTGGCACAGCTTCAACCAAAGAGCCAGGTTATAACATCATAACAAAACTTGCTAGTAAGAGAGGAGGGGAACCTCTGATTTCTTTAAAAAGATGTCGGTGTCAGATCAGATCTTTCCACTCCTACATGGGAGATTATTATGCAGGAGACTGACAATAAGTAGTGACTTCAAGCAGAAGGCTGAAGCTGGATGAGAATTTTGAGAAGGCAGGCACAGCTGCTCATCTGTAAGCTCCCCTCGAGTACTGGAAAGCCACAGCGAGGTCTCTGTGCCTGAATACGGTGTAAGAGAACAGCTTGTCTTTATTAAACTAAATCCACAGCACATGTTTACTGCTGGAAGGAAGATGTGCAGAAGTCAGGGGACACAAGATGGAGACATGCTAAGCTATGCTGACTTCTCCCAGTCTGTGCTTTTGCTCCAGGATCTTTCTTTTGAATAGCATTCCATCGCACAGTGAGAACACAGGACGACACTTCGTTATTCAGTTTCATCTACAGAACGGGGAATAAAACAGACAACCAAATATCCAGTTTATATTTCAAGCACCTGACGATCAGACCGTACTGCAATTATAGATTTATGAAGCTTAGAAATGAAACCACCAAAAATCAATCTAATCACTAACGGCGGTACTTCAGGAGGGACTCTGACCACCCGAGCCCACCGCACCTCCCCAGGCGCCCCACGACGCCCCTCAGGCACCGCGGAAGCTCGCATTAACGCGCAGGCGCAGCAGCACTGCTCCGCCCCCACCCGCCTTTCTACGGAAGGAGCCACGTGCTGCCAAGGGGAGGGACAGCCAGACCCCCCTCAGCGCGCTGCACTTGGTACAGCCCGCCCGCCTCTCTCTTCCACGCGCCGTTTGAAACCCAGTCCCGCCGCGGCGCCGCGCGTGCGCAGTGGCCAGAGAGGGCTCTTCCCGCCCTCCTGCAGGGACCGTGCGGCTGCGCGGCGGGCGAAACGTCATCGGCGCACGACGGAAGCGCTTCCGGAAGTAGTTCTGCGAGCGGTACCGGAAGTAGTTCTCCGAGCGGTGCCGGGAACGTTGCTGCCGGTGCGAGGTGAAGCGCGGGAGCCGCCGCCATGACGTCGGCACTGGAAAACTACATCAACCGTATCCTTCTGCCGAGCGGGCGATCTGGGGGCGGCGGGGAGGCGCCTTTCTTCTGCAAGGGGCGAGGCTGGGTGCGGGTTGGCGGTAACATGCTGCCGTGGCTTATCGCGCTGCTCGGGTCTGTCGTGGTTCATGACAGATAGAATGGGGGGTCAGAGAGGGCCCCCAGTGCTGCCCGCTTGTTTGTTACTTGTAACAAACTGTGGTGAGGGCTGTGGTGAGGAGCGGGATCCGTAATAGACCTGGCCCTTCACAGGGTGCATAGCGGGTGTTCAGCTGCCAGCTTCACGTCACTCCCTCAAAAGCCATGCGCTGGTGTTCTTAGGATCATTCTCTTGCAGGGTTTTTCTTGTTTCTTTATTTTTCCTGTTACTTTCAGTTTTATTCACAAACAATAAAGTGTTAAGCCAGCATCACTGATAATAATGAATGGTAATAATAAGACTGGGAAAATCAGAGCTTCAGAAAGAAGTGTGCAGTGTCACAGTCAGGATCTGCGCTGCTGCACTGTTTTTAAGCTCCTAGCCTGAAATGGCTGTCCATCTCATTAATAAAACTGTTTTCATTCCTGTTCTGAGCTAGAGCAGTTAGTAATGGGAAGGGAGTCAGACTTTACACTGTAGTTTGCTTTTGTAGTGTTCATGTTTGTATGCAGTGTTCATGTTCATGTATGCAGCTGTGCATGTCTGGGGGAAGTGAAACTTTAAAGCAGGTTGTCAAGACTTATTGTCAGATGTTCATATTAAATGTAGAGGGGTGTTGTTTTTTGTTTTTAAAGGCCTCTGGTAGGCTTTTCTGACTTTTTTGATCTTATTACACATAGATGTTACAGAAAATGTTAATGATTCTGTTTCATACATCTCTGAATGCTTCCTTAATGAACTCTTGTCAGGTACTGTTGCAGTGATAACTTCTGATGGAAGAATGATTGTGGTGAGACATTTACTTTCAGGGGGAAAGCAGGGCCTCAAGACACTTAGCATTTTCTTGGGAGAACAGACGATTTCACAACAAAAGCCTTCCTTCTCTTGCCCTTCCCCAGCTTTTATAGCTGAGTGTAACATCACTTGGTGTGGGATACACCGTGTTCACTTTGGTTCAGTGCTGTGTTCCCTCCTGTGCCTTGCTGCCCCTGGCCTGCTGGCTTTTGGTGGCTTGTGTGCTGCCTTGGTGTGATGCTGGTGCTGCTCAACTACAGCCAGAGCACTGAGGTGATATCAGCACTGTCACAGATCCAGGTGCAGTGCACAGCTCTGTGTGGACTGCTGTGAGGAAGGTTAAGTCCAGCCCAGCCGCACTCAGTAAAATGACATTAAATTTCATAATCTGTTAAATGACACAAATCAGTTTTTATAATTTTTCCAAACTCTTGTTAAAGCAACACAGAAATTCTTCCTTTTGTGTGTCTTCCATTTTTGTTGAGTAGTGTGGTGGAACCAAGATAACCTCCTTTAAAGAGGTGCTACTTAAAATTGCATGTTAAAAATTGTTTCAGTGCTGTTTAACATGTAAGAATCTAAGTTTTCTGTTCCTTGACTTTATTTTTAACACTGGATTTCTGGAGGTTTTGGGGTTGTGGATGCCCCATCCCTGGAGGCATTCAAGGCCAGGCTGGATGGGGCTCTGGGCAGCTTGGTCTGGTGGTTGGTGACCCTGCATATAGCAGGGGGGTTGAAACTAGATGATGATTGTGATCCTTTTCAACCCAGGCCATTCTGTGATTCTATGAAATTTCCATACAAGGAAGACTACAAGCTGTAAAGTCAGTTGTCTAGAGGACCTAAATAAAATTTTTATCTCTTATTCTAAATAATGTAGCTGTTAGTATGAACACTCAGGAGTAAATATAGATACTTGCTTAAGTAGATTACCATTTTCAAACTTTTCTTCTCCAGCAGTTATGTTTAAGACTTACATTAAAAACTAAATAGAGCATCTGTTCTCTAGTGTCTTAATATTGCCACTTTGCTGTTTAAGATATCTGTGAGAGCAAAGATATAAATTTAAAAGGCAGTTGGAGAACTTTTATTTTTGTATGCTTATTTTTTTTCTCCTCAGGGAACCCTCAAAGGTTTCGATCAGACCATTAACTTGATTTTGGACGAAAGCCATGAAAGAGTGTTCAGTTCTTCACAAGGAGTTGAGCAAGTAGTGCTGGGATTATACATTGTAAGAGGTGATAATGTGTAAGTAGAGCATGGTTTTGTTTAAACCAATAAAAAAGTTCAGTGTGTGCATATATATATATTTCATATATATTTTATATGCATATATATATATTTCATATATATTTTATATATATATATATTTATATATATATATTTACATGCCTATGCAGTCATGTGTCTTACATCTTTCTATCTGTGGATAGCCTTGATAGAGCCATCAAAGCTGAGGCATATGAAGCAGCAAATAGCAGTGCTTCTGTTGCAAAAGTGATTGCATTGTAATGTTAAGATATTGTTGGTTAAGAATATCTGAGTTGTAAATTAACCAGGTCACCAGTGATAGCAATGTGAGGAAAGGGTCAGTATGAAGCTCAGCATTTTTCTTTCTTAAGTCTAGGCATTGTGCAGATGTGCTTTATTCCAGTCTGTGTATGGCAGAGTCTATTAACAGAAAAAGAGAAAACAGTGAACATATGATAAGGCAGGTCTTGCACACCATGAATTAGCGAAGTAGACAAAGTTAACTTTTAATAGGATTGATTTAGGGATGCTATGGGAGAATTAAGATGAGCTTTGAGGGAAAAGGGAATGCTTCATATTCTAAAAAATGCTCAGAGTTTCAGGCTTGACAATGCAGCAACTGGTAGCTAAAGCTGATGTAGCAGCAGATGGAGGGGGGAAGTTGACATTTGATGTCAAATGCCACAATACAGTGAGCAGAAAAGGCTCATTGAATGCAGAGAAATGCAGAGTTGATGTGTCAAAGAGATGAGGAGGCCACAAGAGCAGTGGAAAGAAGCTCCAGTATATGGGCCTGCAGCAGCATTCTGAAAACAGATTTATTTATTTATTCATTTATTTCTGGTCATGCCCAGCTTAGGTAAGAATTTTCATTTCTAATTCCAAGGAATATTCACAGGAAATGCTGGGACTGAGATTTGTATCTAGATGTGTTTATCCAGTGTCATTGAGAAAACATTATTTTGGAAGGTCCTCATCACTTTTTACCCTTATTATAAAAAAAGCTCAGGGAGGGAAGATTTAAGTTGGATGTCAGGGGGAAGTTCTTTACTATGAGAGTGGTGAGGTGCTGGAACAGGCTGCCCAGAGAAGTTGTGGATGCCCTGTCCCTGGAGGTGTTCAAGGCCAGGTTGGATGGGGCTTTGGGCAGCCTGGTCTGGTATTCAATGTGGAGGTTGGTGGCCCTGCATGTGACAGGGGGGTTGGAACCAGGTGATGCATGGAGTTCCTTCCAATTCAAGCTGTTCAATGATTCTATGAAAAAACATTAAAAAAAAATAAAAAATTGACAAACAAACCAAGGTAGCAAAGAGGCCAGATCTTTCTTCTTCCTACTTGATTTTTTGTTTCACCATATCAGGCTGCCACGCTATTCAAATATATTCAATGCTTTCTTTTGTAGAAAAAAAAAAAAAAGTATATTTTTTGTATGCTTAACACGTTCAGAAATATATTCATTAGAAGGAATATTTCTGTATTCCTGCAAATATTAACACACTGATGTTTGCTGTCTGTATAAAGGAGGAGAGTGGAAACTTTAGCTTCAAAAAAGGAGACTCTGAGAAGGTGGGGAAGCTACTGAAAAATAAACAGTCAAGGGATAAAATGTTTTCAGGCATTCCAGTGTGGTTAAAGGTACATCGTAGAAGCTTGCAGTGAGTATGCACCATCAATCAGAAAAACTCAGTGTATTTCAAAAGCAAGTGAAGGTTGTTAGAGGGAGGACTATTGAACTGGGAAAAATAGGAAGTATGTTTATGGCAGGTAGTCACGTGTTTTTAAAAAAACAAACACAACTTTATTAAAGATTGTGAACAAAAACTATTTTAAAAACGAACGTCTTAAATGCGTATCTGTTTTCTCTACTTTAGAAGCAAAAACTATGTAACAGGCATCAAAAGTGATAGATTTTATTTCTTTTACATCTGTGAGAATGAGAGCTGATGAAAAATCTGTATTTGTTGACATGACATTTATGCTCTGATGCAACGGCCAGTTTTTAATCCAAGGAAATGTTTTAAATTGAAAAGTTGTTTTGAAAAAAGCTGTTAACAGAGACATTGATCCAGGATCAGGTTTTTTTCATCCAAGAATTCTAAAGGGATTCAAATATGAAATTGGCATTCATGCTGTTGATACTTGAACATTCAGCTGATGTAAGGAGTTTAAGTTTGTGTTGTCTGAGTTGTTGGCATAGTGAAGGTAAGTCAGTGGTGGATTTGAGAAAGCTGCTTGGCATTCTGATCTACGAGTCATCATAGGAATTTTGATACCTTTTGGAGATGTCTTACTCCTGAACTCAGTCTCATCCTGTCTCTGGCTAGTTCTTTGTAAACACTGATTCATCAGGAAGGAAAAAATATTAGGGATTATTAGAAAGAATAATAGAACAGCAGGCACCATTGTGCCATTGCATAAATACCTGGTATGCTGTGACCTTCAGAGGGCTGCAGTAGGAAAATGCACAATGAGCAGAAGTCAGAATAAGCAGAGGTATGAAATGTTATTCGTCACGGAAAGTCTGAACAGACAAAGGCTTTTCAGTGTGCAAAAGGCACAGCTACAGAGGCAGCTGATTGCTGAAATGATATAATGAGGTGGGAGATTACTATGAAAGTTTGGCATTTAAGTGATAGAGCTCTACAATTAAATTTAAACAATAAAAACCAAGTCTTCCCTTTCCAGGATTTTAACAAATGATAACTTGTTTTTTATTACAGCGCTGTCATCGGTGAGATCGATGAAGAGACAGATTCAGCCCTTGACTTAGGAAATATTCGAGCAGAACCCTTAAATTCAGTTGTGCATTGAAAAGAAGAGAATGCACAGGGACTTTGTAAATCTTTGGTTGTACAGACCTATTTAACAATGTTCAGCAGTTTTTACAAATTGTGCGTAACTTGTTTAATCACCAGGTTTTTTTTATTATGAATATGTTGTAGTTTCACATGTAAATTAAAGTTTCTACATTTTACTAAGTATGTTTCTGTTGAATTTACTTTGGAGATTTCATGCTGTGTAACTTCACTACAAAATGTATATTGGGAAACTGAAGCAGTATCGGGAAAGGAGGCTCTGCTATAGAGATCAAAGAAGGTAATGCATCTCTGCTCACAGGCTGGTGTAAAAGTAGGTGCTAGAGCTTTCCTGGGGAAGGTGAGAAAGGTGATTTCAGCCTCCTTTTCAGAAAAGACTGCTGAGAAAAACTGGCAGCACAAAGCCCGAATAGGCTGATAGGCTGTGTGTTGTTGAACTGAATCTTCAGTGAGGCAGGCAAAGGATGGCCTGCTCACAGGTCTGGTTAGGATTGTAGACAGCAACTCAGTGCTGCCAGGAGGGAGCCTAGTGAGAAGCAAAGTTTGGTTACCCGCACACGCAGGCAGCAGCAATGTTAAGATTATTTTTTACTTTTGGCTTGCATTCAAATTTTGCTTCTGTTTCAACACCAGATTTTATTTCCATTCGATGCTCTTGGTTTTGGTCTGGATTTGACCAAAGTGTGTGCTGGGTACACTGGTGAAGAAATCAAAGGCAGGAGAACTGATCAGAATGGGGTTCTTTAAATCAAACCTAAGGCCCACTACCCTTCAAAAAGTACAAGGATGAAATTGCAGCCTAATAAAATTAGGTTCTGCAATGGATTGTTAGGTCCTTGCAAGGGCGTGGTGCAAAAGAAGCACTCAAAAAAACTGTATTAGATGCAGGAAGTTGAATTGTAACCAGTTTGATACAGCATTTGTATTCAATCAAACCTGTGCTTCAAGTAAGCTATGCATAGGTCACCAGTGAAAGTTAATGATTTCTTGAAAAATTGTGATGAAGTGGATCAGTAGCAGAAATAAATGGGATTGAAAGCAAAGATTGGATATCGAAATATGGCCTTAAAGTTCTTAAAAATGCTAGAGAATTAGTCCCCAAAGGATGAGGAGGCTGAAAATTCAAGGGTGATGTTTATGTGTATGTCAACTAGATTACATGAATTAAATAATAAATAATAATAAATAATAATAAATAAATTAAATAACATGAACTAAATTACATGAAAACCACATAGCTAGCCAAGAAAAGACAACAAAAAAATAAATAGAGCTTAATTTTGAGAGGAAAAGTTATGTTCTGAGATGTTGGAAGAGGTCTGGAAGAGGAAAGAGAGAACCACAAACTGTTACTGTGTTGGACAGCTATGCCAGCTGCTTTGTGCCATTTGGCTAACTGCTGAGGTTCCTGTGGTTTTCCACTCTGTACAGATGTAGAAAAGAAAATGTTTCCTAGAAGATAAATGGTATTTTCTTTAAAAAAAAAAACTCTCCCTGGGGGGAAAAGTACTCAGCAAAGAAGAACAATCCCCTCCTCAGGCTTGAAGGTACCCTCAGTGAGTACTGACTACTGGTCTTAGGACTGTCAGGTGGTTCCTCAGAGTACATGGAGAGTCCTACTGAAATACAAAAAAAGGTGTCAGTTCACAGTGTTGAAAACTGGCTTTTCGTGATGAGTCAAAATCAGGAGCCTGATAAATAACAAGTAACTGAGTAAAATTCAACGTGTCCTTGCAAATGAACAAACTGCTTTTACAGAGGTGAGCAGGACAGAAAAAGATGATGCTGAGGACAAAAGGAAGTAGCGCTGAATTGGAGGTAATTGTCCCAATCCATGACGTTTCCTGCATTGCCTGATGTTGGTCACTTCCTCCTTTTGTTCATTTAAAAGATGTCTTGGTGTTAAAGAACAAGTCTCCAGTGAAACGACTGAGCTGGTTTATAAAAAGATGTGTTGAAATTCATTTGGTGTGCTTGAAGCAAACCAGAAACCATCTTAGTGGTCAAAGAGCAAGTTCCCTAATTGCAATCTGTGTGCAGAGCCTCCGTGTCCACATATCTGCAAAATTCTTCAGACATTACATGGTGTATGGCTTGAAAAAACGTGGATTCTGTTTTGGCGACAGGCTGATAAGGGAGGCTTTCTGTCCAGCTCATCTTTTGCTATCAACTATGGCCTATTGTCCTTAGGCCTTGGACTTGATGTGTATCAAACATGCTGAGCTAGATCTGGAGATAAAACAGGTTGTATGATATAGCTACTACAATTCCAGCAGTATACTACCTTCCCAACAAACATACCAGTTCTGTATGTGTGAATAGGTGCTTTTCCACCTATTAGCTTCTGATGGGTGAAGCTGTGCTCCACTGAGAATTTTACTCTGCAGGTTCGTACGGAAATGATCCCAAATACCAGGTTGGTGTTCTCAGTGCCTTGGTGAGAGATGATTTAGTTAATTCCATGGCTGACAGTTTGTGGTTTTGTATTTTTATATTCCTTTAGGAATTCATGAAGGCGCTTCTAAACACAGTAAAAGCCTCAGAAGAGATTGAGAAACTCCAAATAAAATAACGCCGGTGAAAAAACACAATTTGTGTTTGCAAGACTTATTTGGTCTGTAGCATTTCTGAACACATCTGCCTCTTTTGCATCTTTCAGGCTGCGGGTTTGAGGAGCCACAGTGCCAAAGGAAGCGGAAGCCAAGGAGCCAGATGCAGTAGCTCTGCCTCCATGTCTAGCAGCAGTGTATGCAACTTGGCTCATTTTTAGTAATTGTATTTTCATTGCTGCTTTCCAGCTGTGTGTGCTGCTTAGTGATTAGAACCATGAAAAAAAAAAAAATCCATGAGTTTTCTTTGAGTGGAAGAGGGTTCCTCAGTCTCTGTTGCTGTCGTATCAATGAGCCTCAGCTGTCCCTTGCTTAAAGAAGGCATATTTTGTGTGCCAGGTATTCACAGGCAAAAAATGCACCACCAAAGCCATATGTGTCAGAAAGTGGTATCTGTACAGACAAAGCTTTGAGCTGAGGTAGGGGAAACTTATATCAGGTTTAGTTTAACTACATGTGACAGAAGGCAATAATGAGTCAGGTGTTTGCCTTGACAATCCCACACCTGTAATACTCTCTGAAGGATTTTTTTTTACAGTAATTTTTACAGTAATTGCATAAATGGTAACATTTCTTCCAGTAGTAGCATCTTCCCTGAAGAAAATAAGAGCTCCGCTGACAGAGGTAGAAATCAAAGGTGAAAACAATAGCATTCAGACTTCTGCCAAGAGCTGCTTGCCTGCTCTGCAATCCTGACCTTATCCAGGCAGTAATATCTTCCTTCCTGGACCTCGCAGCACGTTCCAGGAACTCAGGGACTTGTGCTGAACAACGTGTTGCTGCTGTTAGTCTGATATCAGTAACGCTGCCCCTGAGCAGATGCCAAGAAACGTCACTCCATGCTGAATTCTTTGCCCACCACTTGCACTTTTACATAAACGGTGTTGGTTACTTGTGGGGACACAAGGGCAGGAGGAGGGCAATTCCTGTACAATTTTTGTTCTCTGGAACATCATTTGTGGTTGTTCCCCCCACTTCCTCATTATCATTGTTTTGTTTTCTACTCTAGATTTATATTTTCTTGACATCAGTGTAAATGTTGCCAATAGCGATGATTACAGTGTATTACGTGGAAACTGGAATGGAAATTGTACAGGTGGAAAAATCAGAGAAACAGAAGTCCATCAAAAGGAGGAAGAAGTGGGACAGCAACCTGTTGGAGGTGGACAGGATTCAGCTGTACAGCACTGATCAGAGCCAAGTTCTCGTGAACAGACACACTGTGCACATTACGTTGTGAGAAGCACTGGAAAAATGTGAGAAAACATTCTCAGAATTATTTTAGGGCATTAGAATGTTGTAAAATTCCTAAAGTGTGGTTCTTGCTTGGGGTTATTGTGCTTAAATGAGAATTCTCACCTGTATAATTTCAAACTTCAGCTCAGCTTACAATGCAGATAGAAACCTGTATGCAGATACATGCTGCAATGTTTCTGCTAAGCATCGCCATCCAAACAGAGATTCTGGTGGGTTATGGTGAGCGTCTGCACTGATGGAACGTGCAGATGTCATAGTGTCCCCAGTGTCTCAAAATTGCTTAAAAAGCAACATGAGTGCAAAAGACCATATGTATATGTAAAAGGGGGGGGGAAAAAAAGCAATTATTTCATTTCATGCTGAGCTTCCATTTCCATTTTCGGTAATTAAGAACTCTTCTTACCAAGTGCAGCCCAAGTGCCATTTTATCTAATGCCACTGCATTGACACTTACTCATGGAAGCTTTGTTCTGCAGCAAGACGCAGTGCAATGCTGAGCAGAAGCCAAGGAGGAAGCGATTATGGCCGAGGAGTTGATGCTGATTGAAAATGTGTGATGCTACAGAGGAAATATCACACAATAGAACCTCAGTTCGTTTGGAACTCGATTTCAAAAACAGGGCACATGAAGATGTAAACAGTCAATAGCAGCGGGTCCCACCTTTCTGCTAACAATCAGCTCATTAGTGGTAGAAGCACGCAGAATGATTTCCATGATTAAACCACAAGTGCAAAGTGTGCGCTCACCCAATACACGGAAACTGCCTTCTTGCTTTTCACCATGTTTCTCCTACAGCTTGTCCCACCTCATCCTGGATGCACGTCAGCCACAAATACAGTTTAAGTCAGGAGCTGGAAACGCTTGAGATCTTTGAAAAGGCAGCTTTCTGATTCTTTAAATTAAAATCGTTAGGAGCAGAGTGGAAGCAGTCTTTGATGTGAAATGAAATAATTAAAACAGTTGATGGAGTTCAGAACTGTTATAATTTGTGTTGGTATGTGGGTACAGGGGACAGCCTCCTGTTCTATCCAGAGACTGGTTTAACATCCGCGTAGTTCACAACATTGGTCAAGTCATTTGAGTTTTATGCTCTAACTTCTGACATCACTGTTTTTGATTAGTTCAGAGGGGGCAGAAAGCAGTAAGCAAGGCAGCTTTCACTCTGGGGCTGCACCATTTTATTTGTGGATAAGACGTGTGATTCTCTACAACCACATCACATAATGCCTGTAGTTTTGGGCTTGGTTCTATTTGTCCTTTTTCTGACCATCAGTAGAAGAGCGAAGCTGCCAGCAGAA